CCGTTCTCTCACCTCCCACGGGTCCTCTGGCTGGTATCGCCCTAAAGAGGTCCTCCCCGTACGCCCTCAGCATCTTTAACGTCGCTTTCGGAATCCGTAAAACCAGTCTGTGTAGCAGCCGTTCTCTCCTCTCACGGGTCCTCTGGCTGGTTGACACCTGCTCCCAATGATTTCCTTCGCCACAGCTTTCCACAATCTAATTCGAGACCAAAAATCGCCCTAAAGAGCTCCTCTCCGTATGCCCTCAGAGTCTCCAACGTCGCTTTCGGAACCCGTAAACAAGTCTGTGAAGCAGCCGTTCTCTCACCTCCCACGGGTCCTCAGGCTGGTTGACACCTGCTCCCAGTGATTTGCTTCGCCACAGCTTTCCACAATCTAATTCGAGACCAAAAATCGCCCGAAAGAGGTCCTCCGCGTACGCCACCAAAATGTCTAACGTTGCTTTCGGAACCCGTAAAACCAGTCTGTGAAGCAGCGTCGAGCACACCCTTTCTTCCGCTTTCGACCCTTCAGCCACGCTTCAAGCCGCCTGCTGTCACGGAAACGCCTCGGAAGCCTCGACAAAGCCGTTCTTTCACCTCCCACGGGTCCTCTGGCTGGTACACAAGAAGCCGTTCTCTCACCTCCCACGGGTCCTCTGGCCACGGGTCCTCTGGCTGGTACACAAGAAGCCGTTCTCTCCCCTCCCACGGGTCCTCTGCCTGGTAGACACCTGTTCCGAGCGATTTCCTTCGACGCGCATTTCCACCTTCTAATTCGAAACCAAAAATCGCCCTAAAGAGGGCTTCCCCGTACGCCGTCGCTTTCGGAACCCGTTCTCTCACCTCCCACGGGTCCTCAGGCTGGTTGACACCTGCTCCCAGTGATTTGCTTCGCCACAGCTTTCCACAATCTAATTCAAGACCAAAAATCGCCCTAAAGAGGTCCTCTCCGTACGCCCTCAGAGTCTCCAACGTCGCTTTCGGAACCCTTAAATTAAGTCTGTGAAGCAGCCGTTCTCTCACCCCCCACGGGTCCGCAGGTTGGTTGACACCTGCTCCCAGTGATTTCCTTCGCCGCAGCTTTCCACAATCTAATTCGAGACCAAAAATCGCCCTAAAGAGGTCCTCCGCGTACGCCCCCAGAATGTCTAACGTTGCTTTCGGAACCCGTAAAACAAGTCTGTGAAGCAGCGTCGAGCACACCCTTTCTTCCGCTTTCGACCCTTCAGCCACGCTTCAAGCCGCCTGCTGTCACGGAAACGCTTCGGAAGCCTCGACAAAGCCGTTCTCTCACCTCTGACGGGTCCTCTGGCTGGTGCACAAGAAGCCGTTCTCTCACCTCGCACGGGTCCTCTGGCTGGTACACAAGAAGCCGTTCTCTCACCTCCCACGGGTCCTCAGGCTGGTTGACACCTGCTCCCAGCGATTTGCTTCGCCACAGCTTTCCACAATCTAATTCGAGACCAAAAATCGCCCGAAAGAGGTCCTCCGCGTACGCCCCCAGAATGTCTAACGTTGCTTTCAGAACCCGTAAAACAAGTCTGTGAAGCCGCGTCGAGCACACCCTTTCTTCCGCTTTGGACCCTTCAGCCACGCTTCAAGCCGCCTGCTGTCACGGAAACGCCTCGGAAGCCTCGACAAAGCCGTTCTCTCACCTCCCACGGGTCCTCGGGCTGGTACACAAGAAGCCGTTCTCGCACCTCCCACGGGTCCTCTGGCCACGGGTCCTCTGGCTGGTACACAAGAAGCCGTTCTCTCCCCTCCCACGGGTCCTCTGGCTGGTTGACACCTGCTCCCAGTGATTTGCTTCGCCACAGCTTTCCACAATCTAATTCAAGACCAAAAATCGCCCTAAAGAGGGCCTCCGCGTACGCCCCCAGAATGTCTAACGTTGCTTTCGGAACGGAAGCCTCGACAAAGCCGTTCTCTCGCCTCCCACGGGTCCTCTGGCTGGTATACAAGAAGCCGTTCTCGCACCTCCCACGTCCTCTGGCCACGGGTCCTCTGGCTGGTACACAAGAAGCCGTTCTCTCCCCTCCCACGGGTCCTCTGGCTGGTTGACACCTGCTCCTAGTGATTTGCTTCGCCACAGCTTTCCACAATCTAATTCGAGACCAAAAATCGCCCTAAAGAGGGCTCCGCGTACGCCCCCAGAATGTCTAACGTTGCTTTTGGAACCCGTAAAACCAGTCTGTGAAGCAGCGTCGCGCACGCTCTTTCTTCCGCTTTCGACCCTTCAGCCACGCTTCCAGCCGCCTGCTGTCACGGAAACGCCTCGGAAGCTTCGACAAAGCCGTTCTCTCGCCTCCCACGGGTGCTCTGGCTGGTGCACAAGAAGCCGTTCTCTCACCTCCCACGGGTCCTCTGGCCACGGGTCCTCTGGCTGGTACACAAGAAGCCGTTCTCTCCCCTCCCACGGGGCCTCTGGCTGGTAAGCACCTGTTCCGAATGATTTCCTTCGCCGCGCTTTTCCACCATCTAATTCGAGACCAAAAATCGCCCTAAAGAGGGCCTCCCTGTACGCCCCCAGAATGTCTAACGTTGCTTTCGGAACCCGCAAAAGAAGTCTGTGAAGCAGCGTCGAACACACCCTTTCTTCCGCTTTCGACCCTTCAGCCACGCTTCCAGCCGCCTGCTGTCACGGAAACGCCTCGGGTTGTCGGCAACGTTTCAAGAAGCCGATCTCTCACCTCCCACGGGTCCTCTGGCTGGTAGACACCCTGCTCCCAATGATTTCCCTCGCCACAGCTTTCCACGATCTAATTCGA